CGGGGTCCCTGCCCCGCCGGCCGCCCCGCTCCCCGCGGGCACGCTCCCCGCCCCCGTCCCCTGTTTCGGCTTCCTCTCTTACTCCTTTCCGCCCCTCCCCTCTTCCCGACCTCGCCAAACTCCACTCGTGGCCCCGCGGTCTCGCCCGGGCCACCGGCGCCCCGACACCCTGACACCCCGAGAGCGGACAAAAACAGCCCAGAGGCCAAGGGGCCGCGGGACCTTCCCGCCCCGCGCCCCTACCCCCGCCACCGCCGCCTCCGCTCCTCCCTGGCGGCCGGGTGGGGATCCCGGGGGGCGAGGGAGGGGCTGCTCGCTGCGTCCCCTCCTTGGGGCCGGAAAGGAACAAACAAGCCGCGTCCGCCTTGCGGGAGCCCGGCTGGGCCTGGGGACTTTGGGAAGAGCGGTGGGTGCAGCGGTGCCCTGCAGACAGAACCCGAGTTCCGTATTTACACTCCCTGCAGGAGGGCCTTGTGTTTCTGTTTTGTTTCCCTCCCCCTGCAGGGGCTGTGTGCGGGGTGGGGTGGGGGGTTCGCTATGTCGGATGACGATTCCAGGGCAAGCACCAGCTCCTCCTCCTCTTCGTCCTCCAACCAGCAAACCGAGAAAGAAACAAACACCCCCAAGAAGAAGGAGAGTAAAGTCAGCATGAGCAAAAACTCCAAGCTCCTCTCCACCAGCGCCAAGAGGTATGGCACCCCTTGCCCCCCTCCCCCGGGCTTCCTACGGTACCTTCTGAGCTGCCCCTGGTTGCGTTCGGTCCGCCTCCCAGGAAGGGTAGCTTAAATGTTGCTCGTGTTTTATGTGTGCTCAAAAATGAAAATGGGGCCATGGAAGCCCTCATTATTTTCTCTGTTGCTTCTTCTGTTTCAGTCATTGTTCATAGCCTTGCCTCTTTTTCTTGGAAGAGTTTGTAAGAATCCTCATCTACTTTCATTAGTGACCCCCAGATGTTTCAGATTGTTAGACCTAGTAATCACTCAAGTGCGCCCTTTCCTTAGGACTGTCACCTCACTTAATTACTGGAGTAATCCCTTCCTAGATAAGTCATACCGAAATGAATTGTGTGAGTGCTTGCTTCCTCCTCACCTGTTGCAGGGATGATCTTTTTTGAATCGAAGTTTTCCCACAAATTATATAAGGAATATATTCATATTAGGAAAAAATGTGGTAGGTTATGTTTCCTAGTGGAATTTAAGACTTTTCTGATTTAGAGGAAATGCATTAGCACAGTAAATGATTGTAAGATGGTTACCCCAGATTACTTGGGGTTCTCATTTTGTTTACTTTGCCAAATTCTAGGAGACTTTTCCCCCCATTTGAACTGTAAAAATGTTATTTCACTTTTTCTTTTTCTTTTATCTTAATGCAAGCCATGCCATTTTCTTTATTTCTTTTCTCCTGCAAGTCTCTGAAAGCAAGTTCTTTTTACCTTGGTCATCCCTTAGAAACATCCCATGAATCTTGTTTGGATGTTGGGACTCTAACTCAGGACTTCATGATTGCCAGGCAGGCTTGGGTCCCAGAGCTAAATCCCAGCGTCCTCAAGATTGTTCCCCCCCCCCCCCCAACCAGGGATTGAACTCAGACCTTTGCGCTTGCCAGGGAAGCGCTTATTCTACTAAGCCATCTCCCCGGCCCCTATCTCAAGATTCTTGACCTATGATTGGTAGAGTTCCCCAGAGCCCCCAGATACCCTTCCATAAATCCCTTCCACTTTATTTTTTATTTTTTATTTTTTTCTTTTCAAAGTTTTATTGATAAACATATAGCAATGAGACAGTTTCAAATCAAATCGAAAGTACAGTTTCAACAAATAATACACTGCATACATTCTTCTCAGTGTCCCTTCCACTTTAGGTAGGTAGATGTTAAACTTTAAAGTAGCAAGTTGGGAGGCTGGGGAGATGGCTCAGAATAAGGGCTTCCCTGGCAAGCACAAGGGCCTTGTTCAGTCCCCAGTTACACACACACACACACACACACACACACACACACACACCAGCAAGTTGGGGAGACCGTAAGGAATCCAAATATCCAAATTCCTGGGTTATGTAGGGATCCCATTCTTAAAAGAATCCAGAAAATGAAACATGAGGCTTCAGATCTCTGAGTAGTGAGCCTGGAAGTTGGAGTTTGAGAGGTGGTTCTGTCATTCTCCCTGGCTTGAAATCTGAAGATTTGGTGAAGTGTTTTGGTGCCCTACACTTGGGGCTAAGTTAGTGACTTCAGCTTATTTTAAATAGTGAATTGAATCAAGCCAGTGCATACTGCCTAGGAAAGATTACACTTTTCCAAATGGTTTCATTGCATCTTGGTTTCCAAGAGTCCTAACCAGGCCATTAGACCCTTATGGGTTCTCATGGTGTACCTGGCATTTACCATACCAATGCCGGACCGAACCCTTCTTAGAACCTCCCCTGTAACATCCCTGTTCTCTCTGGGCTTTTGACCTGCCTACCCCCAGAACAAGAATTTGCTTGAGGTCATTAGTATTTTATATTTCTCTGGGTATCTGTGGTATACACGATTGTATCTGGGGGCAAAGGCACAACTTTTAAATAGTCTGCTTTTGTTCAAACACAATTTGTTCATTATGCCAAAGAAGTTCACAGCTTACTTGGAAATGGCTGTGAAAGAGATGGTAGGTGTAGAAAATTAAAGGTGGGAAGCTATAAATAGTAATTTTATCTATTAGCTAACTTGAGATTTCCTACCCTCTTCTTTTTCTCCACTCCTTCTGCAGTGAGTTTAGCCACCTGCGCCTGGGTGTCTAGCTGAGATAGAATATTTGTGTTAAGGTCAATATCAAAAGGCAAGAAAGTGAGAGGAGTGTATGCAGGAAACAGAGAAAATTGATATGAGTGGGGTCCTACAGAGGGTGTTCTGTGAAATATATTGGTTTGGAAAGTGGGTGCTGCCCACAGAATTGGAAGGTCCCTGGGTCACATTTACTAGGAGATGGAGTGAAAAGGAAGCTTGAATGGGCTGACTTCTAGGTTACTCACTGCACGGTGGAAAGTGGTTTTAAGCTACTACGGGCAGAGGAAAGCCCCCTTGGGGCGCGGTCTGAACTAGAATCATTCTGGCACATATATATATATATATATAAGTTCCTCTTGGAAATCTTTTGGCTCGTCTTCTGGAAATAGTGCAACTTCTGGCAGCCGAGACAAGTGGATAAAGCTATCTAGCATTACTTTTTAGGTATTGAAGTATCTTTTTTAAGTTCACGGGGAGGAATTTAAGGTGCAAAGGAGTCAGGACCAGGGGTCCAAATTTAAGGCCTAACACAGAATAATGCATGAGTGAAAGCAGCAGGGATGCAAGTATCTCTGAACTTGCAATGCTCGCGGGTAGCAGAATTTAGCAGGAAGCTGATAAATCAATGTCATTAGAAACTTAGACGCTTTTCTAAAGTTGGCTAATTTGTAGAGGACGGGAAATATTGTTCATTAGGAAAGTTTAAAGAATGTTAAGCCATCCTTCTAAAATTTCATCGCTTTTAATAGCCGATGTCTTTCTAACCTCACAAACCTTTGGAAAGAGAAAAGCATCCATTGTCATTCAAATTACCAAGTGTTGGTTGGTGTTTTTCCTCCCGAGCTAGTTCGGTGAAAGTTTTAAGTTGTAACGTAGAACCGTAGGGCTTTCTATGATAGGAGGAGAAGTTATAAACTAGACACCTATAGAAGGGGGAGGCAGCTTAAAGGCCCCAAAGTTTGCCGAGCTAACGGATGCTCCGAGAGCCTAGGTGAGCCTACACAAAGGCCGGGGCTCGGCGGTTCACGCCGGGGCTCGGCCCGGGGTGGGGGATGGGACGCTTTGTGAAGTCGAGGCCGAAATCGGGGGGGGGGGGGTGTCCCGGGCGAGGGTGCCTGGTGAGTCGCAGAGGGGGCGACAGAGAGGGCAGGGATCACCCCGAGAAGTGAGAGGGCTTCGGGGAAAGCTCTCTGGAAGGCTGGGTGCGGGGCGGGGGCCGTGCACCTGTGTGGGGCTGGGCGGGGTCAGGCGCAGGCTGCAGGCTGCAGGCTGCAGGCTGCAGGCTGC